AGCTGGCAACTTCGTTTGGCGGAAGGGTGGGCCTGCTTGTTCACTTTCTTTTCGCCAATAATGGCCCATAGCACCAAAACGGTGCAAGAATAAGCAAAGCAGACGAAATTTTCGCCCACAGAATTCTTTTTTAACGAGTTACCCCTTAGGAGCCCATAAAAAAAATAATTGAAAAATAGTATTTTGCTACCTGTGGTTTTTGATTCATTTAAAAACCGATTTTTGAGCTGGAATGCTCATCTTCGAACTCGATCTGTCTTTTTATGATACAAAACTACCCTGAAAATCCCAGATCGCTATCTCAATTCCTTCTCGAGTTAACGTGCGTACAGACAGACAAACAGAAGGAAACTTATCCGGTCAGTGGAGTAATGGGCTTTGCTAATCGCTCAGCCAATCACGGATAACTGCAAACAAGAAACATACTAGGTAGATGTACGCCAGACTACGTCTCGCGTAACAGGCTTCGCGATATCTCACGAAACACTGTTACGCTGCGACGCGCCTGGCATACATCTACCTAGGCCTGCGGCGCTGACACCCGAGTCGGGCAAAGGGCACAGTCGTAAATAGGCCTTCGGCCCGAAAAGTCACTAATTTTGTTCCTCGAGGTTTCAATTTGATTAGTTACTCCACCGGACACCATCAAATATCTGAGAGTTACCATTAAAATGTTTTGGGGGCATTTTCGTGTGAAAAACGCCCTCTGGCGCCCAAACGGTCAGAGATAGAGCCAAACGCGCAAAATTTCTGTCCAAAGGACTCTACTTTGACGAGTTACCTCTTAGAAAGATGTAAAAAGAAGGATTTTTCAAAGTAAGTTTTCGCTTTTTGATTTTGATTTTTTAAACTCGTCAATTTTTGAGCTAGAGCAATGCAGTTCTTGCTCTAAAGATACAAAGTTACAGTAAAAATTTGAGCCTCCTAGCTCAAACCGTTCTCGAGTTATCGTGCGTACAGACAGACAAACACACAGACACGAAACTTTTTGATCATCACTGGAGTAATAGGCTTCGCTATCGCTCAGCGAAAAAACATAATTGTCAATGTTAGAAGAAGAACTCAGGCCCCCTTATTGGCAAAGTTATTTTGACATGAGAAAATATGTGATCTTTACTAGATAGGTGCACGCCAGACCACGTCTCGCGTTAACAGGCTACGCGATTTCTCACGAAACACTGTTGCTCTGCGACGCGCCTGGCATACATCTACTTAGGCCTCCGCCGCGGCGCTGACACCCAAATCGGGTAGCGCAAAAATGAACACAAAGATACGGGCCTCCGGCCCGTCAACGTCCCGTCACTTCGACTAAGCATGCATGGTTGTACATTTTTTCGCTTGTTTTCGTCTAAAACTCCGTGTGGCGCCTAAATGGCTAAAGATAGAGCAAAACGGACGAAATTTTCGCCCATAGGGCTCTTCTTTGATGAGTTTCCCCTTAGAAAACATTAAAAAAATATTTTTAAAAACTATCATTTTGGAGACCTGTGGTTTTTAATTTTTTTTAAATCCAATTTTTGAGCTAGAGTGCTCATCTTCGAACTCGATCTGTCTTTTTATGATACAAAACGACCCTGAAAATCCCAGATCGCTAGCTCAATTCGTTCTCGAGTTATCGTGCGTACAGACAAACACACACACACACACACATACAGACAAACAGACGCGAAACTTTTTGATCATCAGTTCGCTATCGCTCAGCCAACTACTTGAGACTAGTAGAGTTATGTTTCTGATTCTTTTGTCTCTGGAGACCAGCTTTTTCTCAAAACAAACATTTGAAATTTTTTGTGGGTAGTTACACGGATTCACATTTTTACTTTGGCACCTATGGGTCCTGTAAAGCCCCAAACTTGTCAAAATGTTTCATTTTGTTAGTTTTTGTTTGTTTTTATGTTAAATGAACCCTTACTCTTGAAATAAAGTTATGTGGTTCGGGGACTAATGGGTCCCGGCAAAGTCTCAACCTGATGATGCATTGCACAGCAGATGTAAAACGTGCATGTTTCAGCTTTTTTTTGGTTTGTTTTTGATTGTTTCGATGCAAAACGTTTTCCGGCTTTGGTGGTTCTGGTTGTTTGGCTTAGCTAACCGTGGGTCTGGCCTCGTCCACGCCCTGCACATTTTGGGAGATAAGTACTCGATTAAGGTCTAACTTGTCTTAATTCGTTTAGTTTACGGTTGTTTCGATGTCACATATCTGATTCTGAAGATGGAAATAGAAAAAGCTAATTATGGGTCTGTGCAAGTTCTCAAATCAGACTAGAACGTCCGTAGATTTTTTTGTCTGCGACTATGGAAAAGCACTTAGTTAACGAACAAAAACAGTTCTTATTTAAAACTAGCTATATGTACGCCAGACCACATCTCGCGTAACAGGCTTCGCGATATCTCACGAAACACTGTTGCGCTGCGACGCGCCTGGCGCACATATAGCCAGGCCTGCGGCGCTGACACCCGAGACGAGATAACAGAAGTGTATATACAATTTGTGGATGTTAAGTATTTTTTTTACGATTTAATAGACTATTTCTTCATTTTCACCTCATTTTTGTTAAGAAATGCCCCCTAGCACCCGAAAGGTACAAGATAGAGCAAAACGGACGAAATAAATCGACCCTGAAATTCCCAGATCGCTATCTCAATTCCTTCTCGAGTTATCGTGCATACAGACAGACAAACAAACACGACAAACAGAATGAAACTTTTCCGGTCAGTGGAGTTATGGGCTTCGCTAATCGCTCAGCCAATTACCTCATTTTTTGAAGAAAGACATTATACTTTATTTTATTCCTTTGTTATCCCTGCGTTTAAGACTTTCCACTACGTTACAGTTTCTCTACTTCATCGGCTTCTTCCGCTTAATCGTCCAAGCAGCTACTCTTTCTCTATCAAGGTAATATACCACTGGTGACTAGACTTTTTGAAGTGTGCACCGCGACTACAACCCACCCTTCTGCTTAGGAAACGTTCTTTGGGATGGGGCGGAGGGAGTTTCTTACCTCTTTTGCGGTTTTGGACCTTCTTCTACAACTTATTGTTCACTACAGCAATTTTAAGCTTATTTTCGTCAAAAAAAGACCCTCCAGCGCCTTAACGGTTAGAGATTGAGCCAAACGGACGCAATTTTAACCCTAAGCACTCTACTCTGACGAGTTACTCCTTAGGAGATCATAAAAACATATTTTTTTCTGACTTTTTTGACCTACCCCATTCTCTTTGATACCCCATTTTATACCTTAAGGGGTGGTTGCCAGGATTTGCCGTAGGCGTTTCGTTTTCTAGGTGTGAACCTTAAGATACCCTGAAAATTTGAAGTCTCAAGCATCTCCTTCTAGTGAAACAGACACACAGACAGACACGAGGTCGTTTGCATAAGCCCGCTAGATAGCTTTTCTAAAGCAGAAGGGCGGGCTAAAAACTCCCTCTAGCGCCTAAACGGTGAGAGATAGAGACAAACGGACAAAATTTTCGTCCGAGGTACTACTGCCATAGGTCACCCCTTAGGACACCATCAAATATACTCTAAACTTAATGTATTTACTTTTGGGCCACTTTTGTGAGAGAAACTCTCTCTAGCGCCGAAACGGTGAGAGATAGAGCCACACGAACGAAATTTTCGCCCAGAGGACTCTACTTCCACGAGTTACCCCTTGGGAGACAATAAAAAATATTTTTATTCACTTCTTGGACCAACCTCTATTTCTATGTTACCTCCTTAGACGCACTCAGGGGTGGTTCCCAGGATTTGCACTAACCGTTTCGCTATCCAGAAGTGACAGCTATAATACCCTGAAAATTTCAGACCTCTAGCTCACGTCCCCTTCTTGGTGAACGGACAGACTGACAGACAGACACAAGGTCGATGGCATTAGCCCGCTTATATAGCTTTTAAGCAAAAGAGCGGGCTAAAAAGACAGATCGAGTTCAAAGATGTGGATTGTAGCTCAAAAATTGAATTTTTAAAATATCAAAAACAACGGGTCTCAAAAATTACGTCTTTTGAAAATATTTATTGGCTGAGCGAGAGAGAGGCCTATTACTCCAGTGATGATCAAAATGTTTCGCGTCTGTCTGTGTGTGGGTCTGTGTGTTTGTCTGTGCGCACGATAACTCGAGAATGAATTGAGCTAGCGACCTGGGATTTTCAGGGTAGTTTTGTGTCAAACAAGCAGGCCCGCCCTTCCGCCAAACGAAGTTGCCAGGCCCGACCATTTCTGTCACGCGATTTGCTGATGAACATAATCAAATGATGTAACGGGCCTTTGGCCCGTAAAGCCCGTCGTCCTTAATGTTTGCCCCGTAGACACGAGAAAGGGATGGAACGTTGAAGCACCGCGACTACAACCCACCCTTCTGCTTAGAAAACGTTTTTTGGGGTGGGGGGTAGGGAGTTTCTTTCCTCTTTTGCGGTTTTGGGCCTTTTTCTACAACTTGTTGTTCACTACGGCAATTTTAAGCTTATTTTCGTCAAAAAAGACCCTCCAGCGCCTAAACGGTTAAAGACAGAGCCAAACGGACGAAAATTTCGTGCACAGGGATCTACTTTGACGAGTTACCTCTTAGGAGATCATAACAAAAATATTTTTTTCTGACTTTTTTGACCTTTCCTATTTTCTTTGATACCCCGTTTTAGCCCTTTAGGGATGGTTGTCTCTAGCACAACTCCTTCTAGTGGAACATACAGACACACAGACAGACACACAGACACGAGGTCGTTTGCATAAGCCCGCTGAATAGCTTTTTCAAAGCAGAAGGGCGGGCTAAAAAGAGCATGTTAACTGAAGCCAAATTTCTTTAAGAAATATTCATCGTAATGTTGTATACAATGGCATCTAGGAAAGAGAGCAACGAACTTTTTAACGTTCAAGACAAGGGGAAAATTACATGCGACATAAGTCTTAATCTCCCGCAAAATAAATGCGAAATAATGGCAAAATAGTC